AGTATCTTCGTTATTTTAATCTAAGGCTTAACTGGTACACTGTCGCCAGTAACTGAAGGGATGATATAAATCCTGCCGGGGTCCATGCAGGAAGCAAAAGTACTGTAAGTCCCCATGGTCCCCAGTATGGTGATCTCCCTTCAGTTGCTGACGATTTCTAGCCCATTTTTAAATTGTGATGTTCATTAATGCTTACTGCCTTTTACTATTCTCAACTAGTTTTAAATCAAGTCTGTGATATTCTAGTTATTCTACTGTCCTTCGTTGACAGCTTTTTATTCAGTTTAAATATACGTATCATAAATGTATCATAAATGTAATTTCTCGTCACGATATGGCTGAAATATTGCCCATGTGACGTTAAATAATAACTCACTCACTCACTCCTCCATCATCACGATGGAATTTTACTAAAGCCAACTGGCATTTATATGAAATCCTTTGTACAAACGACATCAAACCTGAAGTTTTTATTGATGTTCCGGACACTATCCAACTTTTCTCTGATGAACTAAATAGAATAGCTGATGAATGTATTCCGAAGTCCTCCACAAATCCTCACATACGGAAACCATGGTTTAACACTGAATGTAAACAAGCTAGGAAAGCACGGAAAAAGGCTGAAAAGTATTTCCGTCGCCATCCAATGGTACATAATTTCTCAATAAATTCAAAAATTATAAATGCTAAAACACGACGCACTTTCAAACAAAACAAACGCCAATCTTGGCAAAATTATGTATCTAAGATAAATTCACGGACACCTATGTCCAAGGTATGGAATATGATTCAGAAAATCAAAGGTAAGGGTACTAAATCAAGCATACATCATCTTAAAGATGGGGATCAATTGTTAACTGATACATCCGATATTGCAAATAAACTTGGTGAAACTCTTGCAAAGCATTCTTCCTCGGCTAACTATGTTCCTAAATTTCAAAAATACCAAAAGCAGCAGGAAAAGAAAACTATAAATTTTAATTCAGATAACGGGGAAGATTATAATGAAGTCTTTTCCATTCATGAGCTCCATACTGCCCTTGTACAAGCTCATGATACTGCTTCAGGGTCTGATAATATACATTATCAACTCTTAAAACATTTACCGCAATCCTGTTTAGAAACCCTTTTGATAATATTCGATAAAATCTGGACGTCAGGAGAATTTCCTTCTTCATGGCGTGAGGCTATAATTGTTCCCATACCTAAACCTGGACGTGATCATACTGATCCTTCTAATTATCGACCCATTTCCTTGACTAGCTGCGTTTGCAAAACCATGGAACGCATGGTCAATAATAGATTAACCTGGTACTTGGAATCAAATGATTTAATAACAAACATTCAATGTGGTTTCCGGAAAAATCGCAGTACCATTGACCATTTGGTTCGATTGGAATCATTTGTTAAGAATGCCGTTATAAACAATCAACATGCAGTGTCTATCTTTTTCGATCTAGAAAAAGCATATGACACTACATGGAAGCACGGCATTTTAAAAGATTTACATGACTTTGGGTTGCGAGGCCGTTTGCCTCAATTTATATCCAACTTTTTATCAAACAGACAATTTCAAGTCCGTGTGGGCTCAACCCTGTCTGATCATTATAATCAGGATCAGGGTGTCCCACAAGGCAGTATTTTATCTGTTACTTTGTTCAGCATAAAAATAAATAGTCTTTCCAAGGTTTTAAACGATTCAATTGATGGATCACTTTTTGTGGATGATTTTAACATATCATGTCGTGGTAAAAACATGCGTACTATAGAAAGACAATTACAACTGTGTCTAAATAAGATCAATAAATGGTCGTTGGAAAATGGTTTTAAATTTTCAAAATCCAAAACAAATTGTATACATTTTTGTAGAAAATATAAACCTCATAAGGACCCTGATTTAGTTTTAGATAGCACTCCAATTAAAGTTGTAAAAGAGGCTAAATTCCTTGGTATTATTTTTGATCACCATTTAACCTTTTTACCACACATCAAATCCTTGAAAAATAAGTGCCTGAAGGCTCTTGACCTTCTGAAAGTTGTTTCAAATTCAAAGTGGGGAGGGGATCAGACAACCCTCCTCCAACTGTACAGGGCACTTATCCGCTCTAAACTGGATTATGGCTCCATCATCTATGGTGGAGCCTGTAAAAGTAATTTAAAATTATTAGATAGTATTCATCATCAAGGCCTGAGGCTTTGCCTTGGAGCCTTCAGAACATCCCCTATCAATAGTCTCTATGTAGAGGCGGATGAACCCTCACTAAAACAACGCCGAATAAAACTCTCATTGCAGTACCTCACAAAGCTGTATTCAAATCCTGCATATGATTGCGTTTTTAATCCTCTCTATGAGGATATGTACCATAAAAAGTTATCCCTTGTTCCTCCACTTGGTCTACGAATCAAAACTGACATTTCTGCTGCCAAAATCAATCTAAAAAATATAGCCCCAACTCAGCTTTTGTCCTCTCCCCCATGGCAGTTGGTACAGCCAGAGGTTGACCTGTCATTAAGTAAACTCAAGAAATCAGAAACAAACCAACTCATCTATCAACAAGAATTTAATGAATTGCGGAACAACTATAACACATTCAAATCTATATTTACAGACGGATCCAAGGATGGTGACGCGGTTGCTAGCGCCACCGTCGTTGGATCTAGGATTATGTCTTCCCGACTACCCGATAATAGTTCTATTTTTACAGCCGAATCCCATGCAATTTTAACAGCTCTAAAATATATTGGTAAACAAACTAGGCATAAGCAATTTATATTATTTTCGGACTCCCTCTCGTGTCTTCAGGCAATTAAACATATATCATGCAAGCATCCACTTTTAATTGAAATTATTGAATTATATAATCAACTTGCTACTGGCCAATACGACATCGTTTTCTGTTGGTTACCAAGCCATGTTGGAATCACTGGTAACACGATGGCTGATGCTGCTGCAAAAGCAGCTCTCAACAAATCTGTGACACCACTTCTTCTTCCCTACAGTGATTATAAACCCGGGATTAGATCTTACATCCGTGGTCTAATGCAACAGAAGTGGGACACTCAAGTAGGTATAAATAAATTACATGAAATAAAACCAACTATCGGTTACACATACTTGGGCTGTCAGTCCAGATTTGAGGAGGTCATAATGCGACGATGTCGTATTGGCCACAGTAGATTTACACATGAATATATATTAAAAGGTGAGGATCCTCCGTTTTGTGTCCCTTGTGATGAAAGAATCACGGTCAAGCATGTCCTGCTTGACTGCATTGATTTTTCCATCACAAGGGATAAATATTTCCAGGTCAAAACTATAAAGGATCTTTTTAATAGAATAAGTACTCATTTAGTTATTGGTTTTTTAAAAGAAATTGAACTGTATCATAAATTCTGTTAAAATGTTTTGTGTATAATAACTTTTTAAAAATTAGTAGAATGAATTTATATCTAAGATTGTTAGTGGCAGTATCCTCGAGGGGGGTTAAAGTACTGTAAAATTATTGTCCCCCTGAGAGGGTATCGTAAGTCCCTGTCAATCACAGAATATCTACATTTACTACGCTTTTAAACGTAGAATTTCTGTCATTTTAATTGTGGCTAAAATTATGTACAATCGCCAGCGACTGATGGGATGATGTAAATCCTGCTAGGGTCCATGCAGGTAGCAAAGGTACTGTAAGTCCCCATGGTCCCTAGTATGGTGATCTACCTTCAGTTGCTGGCGCTCTATAGCCCGTTTTTATAATGTAATGTTATGTATTGTGCTATTGATTTTATTATTACATACTAGTTTTAAATTTATTGCTGTGATACGTCTAGTTGTTTTACTGTCCCTCGTTGGCAGGTTTTTACAATCGTTTCAATATATGTATTCTATTTAACTATCGATAGTCACGATATGGCTGAAATATTGCTGATGTGACTTAAAATTTTAACTCACTCACTCACTCAATTATATAACATTTTATCCGGCCATACTTGCGGAAGTGACTATTTAAGACATCATGCAGACAACCTTTTATAGCTTTTTATATATTTTCTAATTTAGCTCACTTCTAATTATTTAATATCGCCAACTTAGTTCCACGTCTAACCAGGCTGTGCTGTTGACTGGAATACGGCTTCCCCTTCCCAAACAACGTTGATCTCTACACCCACAGGAGTGAAAAGAAAGGCTTAGACTTAGTGTAATCGACGAGCTGACGTAACGAACTAACGGAACTCACTGACGAAATGATAGCATGTATAGGCTATAATGCGAGGATTTATAGTACTAGACATAATTATCAATCCATGCATATTACAATAGAAGATTATAGAATGTCATGCAGTCTAGGGGCACTCGTGAAGAGCAACCTCCTCGTGGTGAGTGCTGGGTAGCGCTAATAGCTCTTCCCCCGTGTGGAACCGGGGTAGAATATTTCCACAGCACCCCATTGCTGGTCGTAAGAGGCGACCAAAGTGGGCAGCCCGTTTGCCGTGGGTTGCGCCCCTGTGTCGGCAGAGGACGGGATTCTGGTGGTTGAGGGCATTGGAGCCAGGAACCGGTGTTCCTTTTGCCCAACACACCACTTCGACCCTTACTTTGCCTAGACGGGTGGTAGAATTGGCCCGATTCTATCAATCGGCTGGTCACGCCATGCCCTGTGCATGGAAAAGATCATTTCAGAAACATCATATCAAATAATTTATGATGATCAATTATATACAACTATACCAATGTACTTATTGCCTAGAGTCCTATGCCAGAAGGCGGTGGCTCATGGGCCAATCTGGTGATGTCAACCTCCGAATTCTATATGTTTCCATTGTTCTGTCACGGGCCGAACCAGCTGGGCATTTCTTTTGGTAGACAAATATAGCTTTTCGTGTTGTATTTACTAGAGTATACCATCCCTGTAACCCTGGTGTTGTAGACTGGCTTCCTCTTCAGCATCGTCTTTTTTGACACTCGATGGCGGGTGGGGAACAGGGGTGCTGAATAAATTCCTTTCATTATGGCGCAACAACTACCTGGTTCAACTCGTCATGACAAGAAGAGAAGACTTGAAAATGATATTTCAACTGACAATGTGTCTCAAAACAATGACTCTTGGGCTCGCTTCCTTGTGATCGAGGCTGCTGATCATCAACCGTTAAAACTAAACCCTTTTGCTATTTCAAAAGCTGTTTCTGGAAATTGTGGTGTAGTAAAAAATGTAACCCGTCTTCGGTCTGGCTCCTTACTTGTGGAGTGTGCACGGAGACAGCAATCTCTGAACCTTTTATCAATTACTCAGTTTGCCAATGTTGATGTTGCTGTGTCCGTGCACAGAACACTGAACTCGTGTCGGGGAATTGTTCGGGACAGAGCTCGATGCCTGTCTGATATGTCAGAACAAGAAATTGTGTCTGAACTGGAGGATCAAGGTGTTACGTTTGTCAAACGTTTCACCAGAATCAACGATGGAGTTGTCACCAATACTCATACTTACCTGTTCACTTTTGCGCGTTCTTCCTTACCGCAATCAATCAAAGCTGGTTATGTTAATATCGGAGTGGATATGTATATCCCAAATCCACTCCGATGTTTTAAATGTCAAACTTTTGGCCATGGTTCTAAATCATGTGCTAAACCTGTCAAATGTCATCGTTGTGCTGGCAGCCATGAGGGTAACGACTGTGAGGAGGACATCGTTTGTGCTAACTGTGGTGGCCAACATTTGTCTTCTTCTAAGTCGTGTCCTGTTTGGCAGCTTGAATCAAAAATCAATAAAATGAAATATGAAAATAACATTTCTTTTGCAGATGCAAGAAAACTGTTCACTAAACAATCCACTACTCCATCACATCTTACTTACTCTGCCGCAGTTACACGTTCTGCAACTATTTCTACTGCCACTGCATCAATCACATGCCAAACGGATCTGTCATGGGTCCATTCTGATCAGCCCCTTCAAACCGCTGGAATCAGTCCACCAACTTCTGACAATCAGACCAGTTCAGCAACCCAGACTTCTACTCAGACTGCTAGTCAGACTGACACAGTTGTCCCAGAAAAGAACAAAAGCACTGAACCACTTGACAGCTCACTTGACAAAAAGAAAAAAAAAATATTAAATAGAAAACAATCATCTCCGGCAGCCTCGCCCCCAGAACTATCTCTTCAAAACTCCTTTGAGCCTCTTGACATGGAGGTAACTCTGTCTGTACAGGACAGTAGGAGTAATTCGTCCTCACGTTCGCGTGTGAGAACTCCAATTGAGCCTCCATGACTCAATTGTTCAATATGATACAATGGAATTGCAGAGGACTTCGAAACAATTTTAATGACATTCAATTATTGATACAGGATTTTAAACCGTCTGCTTTATGTCTTCAGGAGACATACCTTAAAAGAACAGATAAATTTGATATCAGACAGTATAACTGTCATCATTCATATTCCCCCCCAGGTGACAAAGCAACTGGAGGGTCGTCTATCTTGGTTCGACAGGGCGTGATTCACAGCCCTGTTGCTCTCAATTCAAATCTTCAAGCTGTTGCTGTTCGTTTAACTTTGAACATTGTCTTTACGCTATGTTCTTTGTATATTCCTCCATCTACTTTGCTTCGACTATCTGATCTTCAAAATCTGTATGATCAGCTCCCCAAACCATGTATTATCGTGGGTGATCTGAAGGGCACAACCCACTGTGGGGAAGTGTTACTACAAACAATAAAGGGAAAATACTTGAGGAATTCATTTCTGATAATAATTTGTGTATCTGTAATGATGATTCGAACACCTATTTATTTGGTGTCCCACAAGGCAGTATCTTGTCTGTAACATTGTTCAGCATAAAGATAAACAGTTTGTCGAAGGTTTTAAACGATTCACTTGATGGATCATTATTTGTGGATGATTTTAATGTTTCTTGTCGTGGTAAAAACATGCATACCATTGAAAGACAACTACAATTGTGTTTAAACAAAATCAATAAATGGTGTCTGGAAAATGGCTTTAAATTTTCACGAGCCAAGACCAAATGTATTCATTTTTGTAGAAAGTATAAGCCGCATAAGGACCCTGAATTAGTTTTGGATGGTGCTCCTATCAATGTTGTCAAAGAGGCCAAGTTTCTTGGTATTATTTTTGACCATCACTTGACCTTTCTGCCACACATAAATTATTTAAAAACTAAATGCCTGAAGGCTCTCGTTATAATAAAAGTAGTTTCAAACGCAAAATGGGGAGGAGATCAGAAAACCCTCCTCCAACTGTACAGAGCCCTCATCCGCTCTAAACTTGATTACGGCTCCATCGTCTACGGTGGAGCATGTAAAAGCAATTTGAAAAAGCTGGATTCTATTCATCATCAGGGCCTGAGGCTTTGCCTTGGAGCCTTTAGAACATCTCCAATTCATAGTCTGTATGTGGAGGCTGATGAGCCTTCACTTAAACAACGTCGTGTTAAATTATCTTTGCAGTATATTACTAAACTACGTTCTTTGAAATCCAATCCAGCCTATGACTGTGTTTTTAACCCTCTTTACGAAGACCTCTATACAAATAGATCATCACTCACTCCTCCGCTTGGCTTAAGAATACAATCTTCTATTTCGGCTGCTAAAATAAATCTTGAACATATAGCCCCCACCCAACTTTTGACTTCCCCCCCATGGCAGTTAGTGAAACCAGAGGTGGATCTAACCTTAACTAAATTTAAAAAATCTGAAACAAATCAACTAATTTTTCAACAAGAATATACTCAGTTAAGACACAAATATGGTACTTATAAATCTATATTTACCGATGGATCAAAGGATGGTGACGCAGTTTCCAGCGCCACCATCATTGGATCCAGGACAATATCGTCTAGAATACCAGATAACTGTTGGCACTCGTGAAGAGCAACCTCCTCGTGGTGAGTGCTGGGTAACGCTAATCGCTCTTCCCCCGTGTGGAACCGGGGCAGAATATTTCCACAGCACCCCATTGCTGGTCGTAAGAGGCGACCAAAGTGGGCAGCCCGTTTGCCGTGGGTTGCGTCCCTGTACATGTGTCGGCGGAGGACGGGAGTCTGGTGGTTGAGGGCACTGGTTCCAGGAACAGTGTTCCTTTGCCCAATACACCACTTCGACCCTTACTTCGCCTAGACGGGAGGTAGGATGGGCCCGGTCCTATCAATCGGCTGGTCATGCCGAGCCCTGTGCATTCAAAATTGCATTTGTACAAGTTATGTTTCAGAATTGTATTTTATTTGAGGCTTGGCCCTGATTATTCTGACTGATGTCTCAATTTCAAATGTTTGTATTTCCAATGTATGTATTTCAAGTTTGAAATTTGCCTAGAGTCCTATGCCCAGAAGGCGGTGGCTCATGGGCCAATCTGGTAGAACAATATCTTTTGTTTCTGCTTGAGTATATCCTCTTGGTATCCTTGGTGTCGCCTGTCGGAGGCCCACAGGCAGATGGCATTGTCCTTGTTGACACTCCATGGTGGGTGGGGACCCAAGAGGATGAAACACACTTAATACCAACATGGAACCCCCTTTAAAAAACCGCTCTCATGTAAATCATGACTGGTTTGATTCTGAAGATGTTAGTCCAAGGACTTCTCCTGTTACTGTTGACAACTGGCCTCGATTCTTGGTGATATCTGCTTCGGATGGCACCCCGTTAAAGCTGAACCCCTTTGCAATTGAGAAAGCAATACAAGGCATAGCTGGAGATGTGGCAGATGCCAAAAGATTGCGGTCTGGGTGCTTATTGATAGAATGTAAGAGACAAAAGCAAGCCGTCAATTTGCTCTCACTTCAGTCACTTGTCAGTGTTCCTGTTGTGGTATCCCCACACAGATCTCTCAATAGTAGCAAGGGAATCGTTCGAGATAGAGGGCGATTCCTGGCAGATATGACTGAAGATGAAATTGTATTGGAACTTAAAGGTCAAGGTGTAACGTCAGTGAAGCGCTTTACTGACCAAAAGACAAAATGAAGTTGTTTTAACAAACACTTATCTTTTTACATTTGGATCTCCTAAAATCCCAGACTCACTTAAAGCAGGCTATTGTAACATCAAGGTGGATAGGTATATCCCTAATCCGCTGAGATGTTACAAATGCCAAAAATTTGGTCATGGTTCTAAGTCATGCACTCATCCATCTGCTTGTCATCGTTGTGGTGGCAGTTGTGCCGACAGTGCTGTGTGTGATAATGTGCCATCTTGTGTCAACTGCTCTGGGGACCACTATTCCTCCTCAAAGGAATGCCCAACTTGGAAATGTGAAGCAAAAATTGTCAAACTGAAACACGAACAGAACATTTCGTTTCAAGATGCTAAGAAACTTGTACTAGCTGAAGCACATCCAACAGTGCCTTCTTACTCAGTTACAGCTTCTAGACCTTTTTCAGGTAATGTTTCAAAAGTTGTTTCAAGGTCTGTTTCCTTTGCATCCATTGGTTGCCAAACAGATTACACTTGGACAAGAACTGAGTCTCCTCAAGTCATCTCACTTTCTCTGGTTAAAACAACTGCATCTAAAACATCTAGTTCACAGACTACTAAATCAATACCTCCTGCTAACAAAAAAACCCCAAACGTTGATTATTCTAAGAATAAGAATAACTCAGATCGTGTCCCAAAAGGTCATAGAGATCCAGTCTCAATGTTTAATAGGTTTGGTGTGTTCGAGGACATGGACGTGTCCTCTCCACAAAACACACGTTCAAGGAGCCATTCTCCAAAGAAGAAAGACCGAGACCGGTCTCCTGTCAATGCTCCTTAAATGTATCATAATACAATCCTACAGTGGAACTGTCGAGGGCTTAGGGCGAATTTTGATGAGGTGAAACTTTTATCAAAAGAGTTTAATCCAGTGGCTTTTAGTCTTCAAGAAACGTATTTAGGTGACTGCGATAATCTTAGCTTCCGTCAATATGATATGTATCATTCATATGCGAAGGTTACTAATGGTAAAAGGACAGGTGGTGCGAGCATTCTCGTTCAACAAGGGACAATCCATAGTGCTGTTCCCTTAAATACCAACCTACAGGCGGTTGCAGTCCGCTTAACTTTGCATATTGCTATAACTTTATGTTCGCTTTATTTACCACCATCAACTGCACTTCAGATTAAAGATTTAGATAATCTGATCACCCAACTTCCTAAGCCTTTCTTGCTTATGGGCGATCTTAATGGTCACAACCCATTATGGGGTTCCAGTGATCAAAATCATAAAGGGAAAATACTTGAGGAGTTGCTTCAGAAGCATGATCTCTGTCTATTTAATGATGGTAGCAACACGTATTTACATCCAGCGACTGGTACTTACTCTGCTCTTGATTTAGCCTTTGCTGATCCGTCTCTTTTGGATGAGTTCTCATGGTCAGTACATGATGACCTGTGTGGGAGTGATCATTTCCCAACCTTACTCAAAACTATCGTTCCTTGTAAAGACCCACCCATTACTAAATGGAAACTTAACAAGGCAGATTGGCAAACGTTTAGTTCCATGTGCAGTGATGAATTGACCTTCAAAAATTTTACTGATGATCCTGACCCAATCAGATCATTTTCGGATAAATTGATCTCCATTGCCACAGAAACCATCCCCAAGACCTCGATTAATCCACATGTAAAAACACCATGGTATAATGAAGATTGTAGGAAAGCTAGGAAAAATAGGAAAAAGTCTGAAAGAGTGTTTAATAAACACCCAACAGCCAATAATTTGAACTGCTTAAGAATGTCTAGAGCAAAGGCTCGTAGAACAATTAAACAAAATAAACGTACAAGCTGGAAAAAGTTTGTTTCAAAAATAAATTCTCGAACCCCCCTTACTAAAGTATGGAATATGATAAGAAAGATAAAAGGAAAGGGGTCACAGAACAAGATTCAGCATCTACAATCTAATCATGATGTATTGACATCAAAACAGGATATTGCTAATAAGTTGGCAGAAACGTTCAGCCAAAATTCCTCATCTGCCAACTATGACCCAAAATTTCAAAAATTTCAAAATCAGCAGGAAAGGAAAACTCTGAATTTTCGGTCTGATAATGCAGAGGATTACAATGAATCCTTTTCGTTGACTGAGTTACAAGAGGCTTTGAACAAGGCTCCTGATACATCTTCTGGACCAGATGACGTACATTATCAATTTTTGAAACGTCTTCCTGAGCCTTCTCTTTTAACCCTTTTATCCATATTTAATAGTATATGGGAAAATGGTAACTTCCCTCCTTCCTGGCATGAGGCTACTATAATACCTGTGCCAAAACCTGGTAAAGAT